CAAGGGAAACTGATTGCGCAATCGCAGTCTTTTGCTTCGATGTGTGAAGCAAGCTTTGACGAGCCACTTCGTTTTGAATACGTGTACAGTGGAACTTAAATATTGTACCCCTTGTCCTGTGCAGCGAAAAAGCTTTTGTTCAACCGAATGCCAACAAGCAACACAAAATTATGCAGCATTTCATTTTCATTACCAATGCGAATAAGAATGCCTGAATTCTGAACACTCCTTAACATTAGAGTAATTTGTCAACAGGGAGATTTACTGCAGTGTAAGCCGAGTAAAGGGTAAGATGCACCGATTTCTTGCTGTAAAAATACACAAACTCAAGAGAGCGTCAATTAGCTATTTTGATGTACAAATTGAACGTTAACATGCTCCTGGAATATTTAACAGATAACTCATGCATGCATATATGAAATTAAATTACCACAACACAAGCGAACTGGATTCAATTTTTTACTACTAAAGCCAAACACTAATTTTTCGAAGAATTTGTTTGCCTATATACTGAGGAGGCAGAAGAGCAGGGGATGTCCCAACATAGAATGGCCTTATTATTGACTTAAAATTATCTGCCATTATTTCGTTAATATATTCATGTGTACAAATATATTATATGTTTATATATTGATTATTATTTAGAAATTTAGTGTATATGATTATTGTATGTTATATGACCTTTTGGGAGTCCACCAGTCCACGATTTTCCTAATAACATGCATCAGCTTGCAAACTCAAGATTTGCAAAATTCTGGTGATATATTTGACAGAATTCTGCGTGTTTATATATATTTAATAACTTCGGTAATTTAAGTTTGCAAGTTGCTGTCGGTGTCTGAAATTTCATTATCTTTCCGGCAAGTTTAAAAAATTTAAGCGAAACAAGTAGAACATTATATTTATATCGGACTTATAGAAGTCTTTCAATGTTTGGCACCAAATTTATAACTATAATCTTTGTCGTCTCCTTCTTTTCGCAGACGTTTTTATCGATACTTCAGGCAAGGCGAGAAATGCAAAAATCTAGTTCTTAACTTAAGTGTAACATGGTGCATGTTTTACCTTCTTTATAGTACTTGTATTCCTGCTGAAGCTGAGCCAGTACTGCACAACACAAGTTCATGTTTTCCATTGGTGAATTTCACCAGACCTTTTTGTCAAAACCATGGAGTTACTTTGTCGAAATACATATACCTGACCCCTGAAAATCAAGTGTCCAAGAATAACCGAGCTAATAAATACTACGACAGGGCTGTTAGGCTAGGCGAGTCTAAAATAAGCAGCTATTTTCGCGTGGACATCGCAACTGTAAGAAAGTGTTGTCAGGCTTACGCCGTACTACTTTGTCGCTTTTTTTTTCCACGTTGTGATCGAACGCAAAGCGTCTTTGGGAAAGTAAAGGTTTGTCGTCAAGCATGTCTTGAATTTATCGGGATGTGTACCAATTTCTGGAAATTCACGGCAACGTCTTATGCTATTCGACACCCGGATTTAAAGACGAGGAAGCTCCTCAGTTGCGAACTACAACCCGTTAGAAACGGTGGCGATGCCCCAGAATGTCATTACCATCAACTAACTAACTCTACAGGTACGATGTTTGCGTGGAGTTATAGGTAGAGATTAAAAAATCTTTCGAGCCTCGAAAAGGCAGAGACCGTTAACTTTTTCTGATACTCTTAATTAAACGAGGCTCCCAGGTCACGACTTTTCCGCGCTTTTCCCCAAGCCGGTGCGTAGCACCGTGCGAGGTTACTAATTCCTCCCGGAGATTAAAAATTACACCCGGAATCGGGGGAGAACATATAGCGGAATCATTGAGCACGAAAGAATATAGCTTTTCCATACTTATTTGTCAAAATGAAAAATTTTTTTCATGCACGGGTTATAGAAGGATGTTTTGTATCATTGCACATAACTTGTGAGAGTAAAACTCGAAATCCATCTCCTTTAAGGTGGTTCTAAATTTAAAACGATAATGTTGAGACGTAATTACAGAAAAGGTCTATTGTTGAAGCCAAATTTTACCTCCAGACACACGTGTTTTACCTCCAGACACGCATGTACGTTGCGAGACATTCTTGCAAGGCCCTTTTCAGGAGTGAACATAAAGGTGGAGTAGTACGCGCATCAAAATTGCTGCAACTTGCGACACAATCTGATTTCAACGCATGTTAGATAGAAATGTCGACACATGTTGCCTTGTGATTGGAAATTTATGTGTATAAACATTTTTACTTATAATTTTCGAATGCTTCCTGGGCTGCCTATGGTTTGATACAGATGAATTTAAAATTCTGTGGTTTCCATGGATGTTTTTATCGTACAAATGCTGTGGAAACTTGTACTTTATGTCATCTAAAAGATGTTTTTAGTGCTTGCATGCTGAAGTATTATTTTTGAAGTTTCAAAAAACCGGGTGTTTATTTGCATGGAAAGACTGGGCATGACCCCTAAGATTTGGCTTCAAATGTCATGGACGTTCGATCACGTTCAATGGTCATGGTGTTTGTACGCATGCGCGAAATTTCAACAGATAATGAACAGTGATATTGTGAATATTGTGATAATGAACGGTCTTCTACAACTTGCTGACTGGCTAAGATGAAAAGTTTGCAAACGATGTTTTTGAAAACATAAGATGAATTATTGAGTCAAATAAATTATATAAACACTGGGAAAAGATTAAAAGTTTCTCAGAACACAGAAGCAGTTGGTAAAATAGGAACGACTCGTGGTTTCCTTGAAGTGGTAGGTATGTGGTAGGTTTATTCAGTCGTGTATGTTGTAAGAATGCATTATTATTTTCATAAGTATGAGCTTGGTATGTCGTTTTACGAAGAGCTAACCGGCTAACCATCATCCATTTACTTTAAAAAGAGTTCTTAAAGTGTACTTTAAATTCAATAATCCAAAAACTACATTCGACGTTTAGTGCTTGCATGAGTTATTCAAATTATTTCTGCTGTTTTGATGTTTTGAAGGTTTAGCAATAATAGCAATGTATTACTCACACTTAAGCCGTGAATAACTTTATGCGACGTAATTTGCCGCAAACATCAGCTATCAAGTCATTTCATAATATTAGCTTAGAAAGTTAGGTTTGGATAGCTCACTGTCACTGAGGTAATATTTCGCTTCGTTTGAAATGGCGAGGCCGAGGGGTTGCTGCATGCATGTATTTCTAGTAGGATACTCACACAGTTGTGAGTAGATATGGATTTTATGTTCGATTGGCAAAAACAATATCTCACGATATGGACGACTAAATTATGAGTGACAAAAATACACACAAAGACGACAAGTAAATCAGCCACGGAAGACCATTATAAAAGCGAATATTTTTTAAATTATAACCTAAACAATATATTAGAATAAGTTTTACCTATCTAAGGACGTCTTTAAGTGTCTTCGTTTGTATTTCCTAAGTTAATTTCGTTTTATATACGAACCAAAAGCCATTTTGTATTTTCACAACAACAACAATAAAAATGGCCGGATAATTTTTGAAACTCTTTATGTCACTCCTAGACGTGACATACGGAAAATATCCGCATGTACTGTACCTCGAATGTAGTGGCGTATGAGGTGGTTCTACGAATGTTTTATTTCCCAGTAAAATCCATATAATAAAACTGCATATTTGCTAATTTTTATAGATGATACATCTGCACGTAAATGGCTGAACGGCACAGGTATGTATAAAATTATGCGCCGTCAAATGAAATTTGTATTAGCGAATCTAAGTACAATTAAAGAAGGAATTAAGTGTAAGTTTGGTAAAATAGTGAACCAATGAAAACTCGATTACTCGACTACACTATACTAAGTAGTGACTACTTCGCAAAACTTAAGCTCGAAGCATATTTCCTTTCACGGGATTATATTGCATCAAATTCCCAAAGCGAAAGGGCTAAAAAGTATTAAACAGCAGCTTTACTGAACATGAATTCGTATCGTTTTGCCAGGCTTTCGTGCGCAGAAAGTTTTCGCATCGGTTCGCGAACTCGAATAAAACACTGTTGCAATTGTATAAAAGACGCAAACCTTGGCCTTTTATAGTGTCAACCTACTCACACGTATGGGCGTCGTACTTTCCAGTTATTTCTTTTCCTTTGTTTTTATACAGATTGTCTTTATCTAAATGGCAGCAGTTACCATGGGAATATATCAGTAACAGACTCAGGCATTCCATGCCAGTCATGGACAGAGCAATGTCCACATCGTCACACGATGAACACAACATATCCAGAATTAAATCAGGCTAAGAACTATTGTCGCAACCCTAGAAACTCGGGAAGACGACCTTGGTGTTTTACTATCGATAGGAAGAAGAGATGGGAGTACTGTGATATCCCTAAATGTACATCAGGTAATTGTAGTGAATGAGTTTGGGTGTAGATATCGGCTATAAACAATACGCTGGCGTGTTTGCAGCTGTGATATACAAATAATAATACTGAATTGTCAAAAAACGTGCTTTTATCGTGTTTGATCCACCAATCAAGAAGGAGGTTTAAATAAGATTTTTTAAATTTCACGGTTGTCATCTGTTTTTTGATTATATAATAATTTAACTCGTTTGCTGCGCTCACTCGAAAACATTCTTAACACTTGAAATAAATTCCATATTTTCAAGCATCTATGTATTAATAATATTTCTATAGATTTAGGAAAATAATACTTACAACCCAAGAGTTGTAAAGTTTTTTCCATTCTGTAACCAGCTGATGTTACTTCCACTCTGCAATCTAATTGAGCGACAAAAATGTTTCTCCCGAATGATAGAAAATTAGAAATATTAGCTATCGACTCATGTGAGTTGTTTCGTAACACTGGCCGTAAATACATAAGATTACGACATTATGTTTCATGATATAAGCCTTGCTCTGGCTAACTCAGGAAATTCTTTGCTTGGTTTGAACTATGGTTTGAATTAGCGAGAGGTTCATGCATGTATACTGATAAAGGAAGCTCTCTTTGACTTTGTTTCAGTTGCTGGTAGTTATGGCAACTGGTCAATGAAAAGCGCCTGCAATGCGACCTGCGGTCGTGGTTTTGAAACTTGGACACGAAATTGTGATAACCCAAGGCCAAAATATGGTGGACGAAACTGCAGTCATTTAGGAGAGCCGGTTGAATACAGACCATGTTGGACAAAATACTGCCCAGGTACGATGAAGTTGTAGATAAGCAACAACAAAAGCACGCTGGGACAGTAGATCAGAGGGTCGCTTTAATCTTCTGCAGATTAACAGAGCCTAATTTTTTATTCCGCAACGGCATTTTTTGTATTTGTATATAGTTAACGGCGGTTATAGCAAATGGAATTTGAGTATTCGATGCAGTGCTTCATGCGGAGAGGGAGTGGAAATATGGCGACGTACTTGTGACAATCCAGAACCTAAATACCACGGCCGTGGATGCGGTGGGATCGGGAACCCGACTGAGATTAGAAAATGTAGCAGAAAACCATGCCCAGGTAAGCCTGAAATAAACATAACTAGTGCAAGGTAAAGTTCCACCCAGACGAACGATATTTTATGCCAGGCAAGTTAGTAAGTTGAAAATTCGTACAGGATGTTGTGCTTTTGCAGCGTCAGACTGCATATTATATACTGCCGTAAATATCACATGTTCCATTTTACAGTTGACGGTAATTACAGTAACTGGACAAAGGCGTTTCCTTGTAGCGTCACTTGTGGTAATGGTGTAGAAATATGGATACGGAAATGTGATAATCCTCCGGGAAAATATGGCGGGAACTGTGATAAAAGAGGGTTAGCTACAGAAAATAGATCATGTGAAGAGAAACCCTGTCCAGGTAACGTTTGCAACGAACGCTTTAGCTCACTATATGAAGAGCTTGAAGTGGAAATTTCCTTGCAACAACTATATTGTATAGATGTTAAAACAGAAACAAGCTGGCTAGATTAGACGCACTATTTAGGGGGTTGTCATTAATGAAAATGGCGGACCCCTTGCATTGTAGACTATATACCTATCGTTTGTTCAGAGGCAGGTGCAAATATATCCCTAGAGCTGGAAGACATATAAATATGAGTTAGGTTTCATTTAAATTGGTGATTTAACTCAAATAAATAAACCATTTCTTGTTTCTATTATATACTTCAGACACCGTCGACTCCGAAGTGATTGGCCTTATCGTTGGTGTTGCTATCATGTTCGTCGTAGCTGTTACAATTTTCATTTTTGCTTTTCGAAAAAGTCAAAATAGAGGTAAGATCCGAGTCATTTTTTTTCTCTGTTGTAGTATTTACAGTCCTTTCCGCCAGGTTCAACATTGTCCTAGCTCAATATTCTTAGACCAGGTTACCTGTACGATAATTACCTGATTATTAAAGAGGTTCAATGGGTTCAACATAACATCAAGAATTATTATCAAGCGATGCGGACAGGTTAATAAGGACAGACTGAGGCTTGATAATTCTAATTATGTACAGGGTACCCTAAAATAATGAAAACGTTATTTGCTCGCGTTTATGTTAGTTTCAAATTATCGCTCCCTTGGAACGTTGATGCCTTCGCCATTGGTGTGACGCCAAACGTGGGATATGAATATTTAACGCAGGTTATGACGTAATAGCGTGCATAAAAACCGTATCGCAAATGATTCTATTGTGAATGTTTCTAGCCTACCAATACAAAGCCTGTACGGATGAGATTGATTCAGGTACCAATAAACTGCGTGTATTGTGCCATTTGTTACGCCTGGCAATTCCCACAGAGGTTTATAATATGACAAATTGCATAGTATAACTGCACCTGATAAAAGCTTGTTCGCTGAAGATTTTTTAAATCTTCTTCTATGCATCAAGCGGGCATATATGCTTCAACTTCCTACACACTCCGACACTCGAGGCACAAAGCCAAATTAATTAAAATAGTAGATTATAGGTACGACATTAGCAATTTTGCATGCATTTATGCTGCGAGGAACCAATCTGTTCAAAGTATTCCGTATCTTTCGTTAGGATCTTTGTATTACGCCCTTCTTCATTTTTCACACTCCCGCAACCCTCGACAGCTTGAGATGAACAGCCTGTCAGAAGAACGATCGAGTGCGCTGCAAGTAACTCGTTCGACATCTACATACCAAAACATGACAAGCGAAGGGGATTCAGCTTCGAGCTCGCGTGGAGTCGTGAATTTTGGGAATGATTACGTAAATACCCGGCCTTCTCGAATCTCGTGGTACGACAAACTTCAATCATTTCGACCATTGGCTGTTGATTGGCTTCGAAACGCGTGGGGTGATGTCGACAGCTCAGGCCGTCATGCATACGACGTCATGCAACATAATATATGCAGACAGGTTTTTGTGCCATACGACAAGTTGGCTGCGCAGCCTAAATCGCCTGAAAGTGGGACTGGAACGAGTACTCAAACGTACAGCCGAATGGAAAGACAGTCAACAGTCCTATTTCCCACAGGTAGTTAGTTCTCCGACAGGTTTTTCTTGACCAATCACGACATCAAAATATTTTTTCTCAACCAATCATTGTAGGCCGCGTCACAGCTGCATTTTAACTTCATTTTAATTTGCCACCGAAAATGGCAAAGGGCCTCGAACATGTACCATGACGTAACCTGCAAGACTAAATCTAAAATCGCACGCTTATAGCACATCACGGTCCGCATATTGTTGCCACACGCTATACATTTTCACGGAGCAGTAAACGACAGATGGCAAGAGGCAAGTTTTATCTTTATTTCATTTACATTTAATTTGAAAAACTATACGCTTCATTTGACAATATACGCACATTTGGTACAAAGTTTAGCATAAATATTTTGCAATGAGCCGAAATTTAAACCACCATTTCCACGTGAAGTAGCCGAATCATGCAAATATATATTTGTAGCTAAGCTTGTACCTAAATATTCGATCTTAACAAACTTCATCAAAGAAAATGTAGAACATCGTGTATGGAATGTATTCGATCGTTTTACCTGATTTAAATATTCTAAATTCTAATAAATATACGAGTTAGTGCATTCTTTGAGATTATATATAACAGTTCGCTTCACACAACTATCTAATCGGTTATTTAAAAGTTCGCGTTTACGACAATACCAAACTCTGCTAGAAATTTTGAGATTGCCTATTCCCGCGCCGTCCACATATTGGAACAAGAAATAAATAAACGTTTTTCTAGGTTGAATCATTTAGATGTTATCAGCATAACCATTGTATCCATTTGGTTGGTTACCAGAGAGCCGTCTTAAATCTTCATCGTTCGCCCCCACGTACACAGTATAAGGACTGCCAGGCACATGTTCCTCCGCCCACTTTACGCTGATATCGTACCGACCAGGTTCCGTCGGGTTATATCGGACACCGATGTTCCTGTCCTTGGTGTTTTCCCGGAACATTTCCACCTTGAACGCCCCTTTTGGCCCATGAATTTTGATCTTGAGCGTGCCGGCCCCGGCTCCCTTTGTCTCCACCATGAATTTCCCCTCGTAGTCATTAACGACGCCATGTTCAAGACCCGTGCCGTGAGCTACGACCTTGCTTGCGTCTGGTGGCATGGTCACTTTCACCACAAATGGGCTGCCTTCCACAGGTTTCCCTCCCCATTCCACATAAATTAGATGTCGACCTGTAATCGAAGGGTGGCATATTAAAAGAGACGAAGCCTTGATAGGCAAAAATTCATAACTTAGCAAAAAAGATAACCATCTGGGTGTGTTGGACGAAAAAGTGGCGCTAAAAAGTTAGCGACGTACGACCAACATACCTGTTTCTGTTGGATAAATCTCCACACTGTATGTACCGTCCTTATTATCGTAGGCTGCTACGTCGCAATCCCTACTTGGACCCTGACATCGGACGACCAACAGCCCGGAGCCTGAGGATCCAGACACTACAGAGAAGACCATTGGTCGACCAACCCAGCCTCCTTTAGTGAGAGCATCACCACGCACGATACACTGCGAGACTTCAGAATGACCAGTTATATTTACTTTGAAAGGACTACCAGGGACGTTCTCGCCATCGAACAGCACGTGCAGCACGTATGCGCCAGGAATGGGCACAAGATAATGGCAGTCGTATGTGCCGTCGTATTTGTTCTCAACTTCGACGTCCGTCGTATATTTCACTCCTTGAAGTTTTGCCGTGATCACCCCTTCGCCTGCATCACGACAGTCGATATTGAATTCGCCACGTTCGTCTACTTTGCCTGGGATAGTTAAAAAAGCCCTTATAAGACCTTACTTCCTGTGTAAGAAAAATTTATTCTTTCCGTAGAGACCTTTGTTTCATGCCAATACACCACACAACTAACCTATAGAAAACTAAGTTCCTGACACTTACGAATCCTCGTTAAACTTGGAAATATTGTTTTCAAAACATTTTTGCTTATGTTTCGCATATTTTTCAAGATGGAAAACGCTAAGAGGTAGTGTTTTCCCAACAGCAAAAAACACTTGGGAAGCACGGAATGTTTTTGATGAGAATCAGTTTTGTTTTCAAAATAATGCCTTTCCATGGATCGAAAAGCAATGAGAAATGGGGAGAGACATCACAAAATAAAAATTAAATATTGATAAGCATTCCAATACCCAAACAATACTTACTTTCTTTGATTCCTTCACCGTAAACGACGCATTTTGATGCATCCGCTCTCACATATGCATCTTTAACGAAGGCATTCAATGCATGACCACCGACCAGGCCACCACCATAGAACATCTTGATGATGTACTCTCCAGACACCGGCGGAATAAATCGGAAATGGTACAAGGTATCTGACTGTCGGGTGAAGCTGGACTCCACTGCCACATCCCCTGGTCCAGCGATCTCAGCCTCGAGCTCTCCCTCGCCAGCACCTGGTAGGACTTCCAGTGGGATTACCACCTCCTTGTCGACGACCATGGCATTTTGGGCCTCGGTCAGGCTCGACATTTGTATCAACACCTTGCTGGGATCTGCAACTTTTACGATGAAAGGACTGCCGCGGACGTTGATGCCTGCAAACTTCACGTAAATCTTATGATCGCCAATTTCCATCGGCGTGTAATTGACGACGTACGTATCTGGCTCGGAGTCGGACAATTGCAAGTCAACAGGGACAGTCTCGCCGGAGGGTGAAACAGCCGCGATCTCTAATTGACCTTTTCCAGCACCGTGAAGGCTGACGAGGAATTCTTCTCGTTCGTGAAGACGAACTTGGTAAAGACCTAAAATGGGAGCGACAAAAAAAAGACAATTCGCATATCTAAAACGTGGAGGAAAATGTGGCAGGAAACTTTGCATCACGGATTATCAAATTTGGCGAGTTGCAAGAGACTCAATCTGTTTAAAAGAGTGAGAGTACTAAATCCAATCATATGCATACACCAAAGCACTTGGTAGCTTCTACTGTAAATTTCTACTTTTTTAGAATGTTTCGTAATTCGTCGAAGCAGGCTTTCTAGACTCTCACCACTACTCTAAAACACTAATCAAACGTTAAGTTCTAATATGTCTGGCATCGTTTTCTTGCGTCTTCTCGCATCAAATGTGGTATAAAAGCTGCTGAAAATAGTAACGACCACCCTTATTAATCTGGCTGTTATTTACCTTCGCCGTGGGCAACAGCTTTTCCAGGATCAGCAATTGTGGTTGTAAATGGGCTACTGCCGATTTCTTTGCCGTTGTAATATACTTGAATAGTGTATTCGCCAGCTTCTGAGGGCAAAAATGAAACTTTGTAAAGAGTGTCGCCGATTTCATGAATGTTAACGTTCACCTTGTCATTCGGCCCTCGACCAGATGCGGTCAACGTTCCACGACCAGCATTGGATGTGTCGACGTTAAACTCAACAGGCTTGTTCAGGAAGCCTTGTTCCATTGCCTCTAAAAACGTAAATATTTACTCCATGTTACTTTAAATGATATTGAGATCGCTTTCTATATAGCTTTCAGTTGCTATATAAAGTGGTGGCAGAATAGCTACATACATCTAATGGGGTAATCTAATAAAAAAACCTCACGATTACATTGCCAAGCAAGCTTAAGCTGTTTTGCAAAAGTCGTAGATAGAAATATATTTGTTGTACTACACATACATACAAAAATCGTGTGTTCGGGTTCTTAAAAGAATTACTTTCGCTGATTTTTGTAAGATAGCCCATAAGAAAGTTTCCTCCCACCTATACATTCTACACATTTTTTTGCAGTGTACCTGAGCTACCGTGGTAGATTATTTCCCTTGATTTTCTTGTAAATTATTACGAATTTAAGTAGGCAAGTGTCATAACAAAAATCGTACAACCGACGACTCGGCAACAAAAATCGACGACTCGCAGCAAACACTAATCACTACCTGATTCACAGATTCAGACAATAGGCGTGCCAAATCAACACCCTGTCAAGTTAATAGCAGCAGTTAAGGGGCAACTAAAGTCTAATCACCCGTCCTATTCATCTGGTAACCTAAAATAGACCTTATTTGCCCGGTACAAACACCTGATTACTACCAACCTCTTTCTGGAACTACGACACGTTTCGGATCGCCGACCATAACCTTAAATGGACTCCCCGGAACCAAAGTGTCTCCAAAACGGACGTCGACGCTATGTTCACCGACTTCGGTAGGGACGAATGACACCTCGTACTTTCCATTCGCTTCGTTTATCTCAGCTGGAATGGTTGACGTTGGACCATGGACGGCAACCGCTAGAGGCGCGGTGTGCGAGCCAGAAGACGATACCTGAAACTCTGTTTTGTCCCTGTAAACCGCACTCTGTGTAAAATAAAAATTACAATCCCACATTACAATCGCTAACAATTCTCACTTATTCGTCATCAATGAAGTGCATTGATAACAACGAGAGCAATCAGTGCTGATGGAAGGGCGGTAGCGGCCAGTTAGATAATACTAAGATAAAACAAAATTAAAGAAATATGGAAGGAAGAAGCGGTTTAAATATGCAACTGGTGTATATCTGGGGCCGATTGTTCGAAAGGCGTTTAGCTTAAACGGTGGATAAGCCAAAGTTTAAAAGCGCTCTCATAGACCTTGCGAATGACTGAGCCTGCATCTATGCATTTAATATGTACTTCCATTAAAAATTACATCTAAATATTTCAATATAACCAGGGAGCAGCGTGGCAGCGTCTTCAAACAACTTAGCATCAAATGTGCTATAACGACTGCCTAAAATAAGAATGTAAATTTAAAAGTGTTTTGTCTAAACATTTCAGCTAAGTTGTTCTGAATAAATAGATAATTTTGTTTTCCATTTTGAACTTATCCACCGTTTAAGCTAAACGCCTTTCGAACAACCGGCCCCTGGAGTATAGATTGAGGTAAGCTAAGTGTTCCCAATGCAACGTCATATCATATTCAAACATACTTCGT